CGCAGGGCCCTGGCACAGTGGCTCCTCTCCCCAGGTCTCTGTGCCCCGTCTCTGCCCCCGCCTGCAGAGAGCACACCCTGACTGCCTGCCACCACCCGGCCGGTCTCCGCGCCACACCGCCCTCACTGGACGACTCTGTGTGAGGTTCACCTGGGGGTTCCCCCATCTCCCAGCTGTCCCCCCACAGCGCGGGCTCCCTGGCGGGCACAGTGGGCTGGTGAGGAGCGGGGCACAGATGGAGGTGCCCCTGCATCACCTGGCTCGGATCTCCCAGGAGGCCGTGGGCTGGTGGGGCCTGTCCAGCCCTTCCCAGCTTGTTGGCCTGGTGCTCCAGCTCCCCGGGCTTCCTGGGCCCCCTCCCCAGGCCTCCTAGTGCCTGGCCTGGCCCTGGCCCTGGCCTCGGTGCAGGATCTGAGCGGCCCCGTAGGGCTGTAGGCACCCACCTGAGGGAACGTCGAGCTGGGGCAGGGGCGACCCTGACGTGCGTGTGATGCTGCCACCCCTCCCAGCCCCGGGGAGGACAGCAACTCACGACAGCATGGCGAAGGTGAGCAGTGTGGCCGCCAGGCAGAGCACAGAGAGGGAGCAGCCCAAGTAACTGATGGACGACAGCGCCACCTGGTGTCCCTGCGAGAGCTGCGGGGAGCGGAGCAGAGGCGTCAGCGCCTGGCCCGGTCCCACTGCCAGCGCCTCCCTCCTGGGGGCAGTGGGTCCTTGGCATCCTCCCTGGTCAGCAGGGCCAGCAGCAGAAGAGGGACAGCTGTTGCCGTGGCACCGTGAAGCCCCGGGGAGGCTCTGCGTGTCCTCAGGCCTGGCTTCCAGCTTAGGGACCAGCCAAGGCCTGGGCTGAGCAGAGCCCCCATGGCGAATGCTCACTCCACGCGGCAGCCGGGCGTCGAGGGCTCAGCCATCTGCCTGGGCCTACCTCATGGTGGACACTGTGGCCACCATGGCCGTGTGGGGTTGCAGCAGGGCCTGGCCAGGGGATGAGAGGGTCCCCCTTCCAGGCTCACGTCACCCATGTGTAGGGGAGAAGCTGTCAAGGGGCCGTCAGGGGGCTTCTTGCAGGGCCCTGAGATGTGGGAGGGGCTGAGGGAATGCGCGGCGGGAGAAAGGCCCCCCCCGCGATGCTCGGGCTGTGAACCCCACTCCACTGCAGTGCGGGACTGCCGTGCCTGCCGCTCTGTCCCCCTCCATAAATCCTCTTCCCTCAAGAGCTCAGCCTACTCCTACCTGAGACCTTCCAGGTCATCTTAGCAGAGTGACCTCCACCTCCCTGAAGGTCACTCCCCACGGCCTCATAGAGGGCTTTACTGTGCCCAGATGCACTGGGAGTCGGTGGGCACAGTACCGAGTTGCTGCAGGCGCCCAGAGCCCACTGCGGCAGCAGCGCCAGGCCCCAGACCACCAGGCAGAGAGCAGGCTCAGCCCAGGTCGAGCTGCCCTGACCACTGCCCTGACCACTGCCCTGTGCTCCCCGCCAGTGAGGGGGGGCCTGCACGTGTGCACGTGTGTGTGCGTGCATGTGTATGAGTGTGCAGAGGGCAGGTACTAACTGCTCCCCGCTGGTGAGGGGGGGCTGTGCGTGTGCACGTGTATGTGTGTGCGTGTGGGTGAGTGTACAGAGGGCAGGTACTAAATGCTCCCCACCGGTGAGAGGCGGCCTGTGTGTGCACACATGTGTGTGTGTGTGTATGTGTGTGTGAATGTGCAGAGGGCAGGTACTAACTGCTCCCCACCGGTGAGGGGGGGCTGTGTGTGTGCACGTGTGTGTGCGTGTATGTGTGTGTGAATGTGCAGAGGGCAGGTACTAACTGCTCCCCGCCGGTGGGGGGGGGCTGTGCATGTGCACGTGTGTGTGCGTGTGTGTGTGCAGAGGGCAGGTACTAACTGCTCCCCGCCAGTGAGGGGGGGCCTGTGCGTGTGCACGTGTGTGTGTGTGTGTGCGTGTGAGTGTGTGTGCAGAGGGCAGGTACTAACTGCTCCCCGTCGGTGAGGGGGCCTGTGCGTGTGCACGTGTGTGTGTGTGCATGGGGCAGGTACTGACTGCTCCCCGTCGGTGTCTGCCCACTGGACAAAGGCCTACGCAGGGGTACCACAGGGCCCAGCAGTATCCCCTGGGAGGCCCCTGACCTGTGGGCCCCACCTCCCCGTGTCAGGCGGGCAGGCCGAGGGGTGCCCTGGTCCCACACCCTCCCCGCTCCTGCTTGGCGCTCTGAGCCTGCGAGGCGTGGTTCGAGGGCTCGGGATGGCATTTCTGGGTCCACCCCAGAGCACAGCAAGCGCGGCACTCAGTTCTGAGGCACTTCAGGTGGGCCACACGCGATTCCGCTACGTCGCCTTGTCCCTCAGACCCCTGGGAGAAGACCCGGTGCCGTCACTGGGGACGGAGCGTGGGAACCTGCCAGCGACTGGTGTTTGCAGAGCGAGAACGTGCTGCCCACGGAGCACGGCAGTGGCTGGGCGGGCGCGGCCTTCTGTCTCTGACAGCCGAGCAGCCTGTCTGTGGCACACGTCCCGCCCGGAGGCGTAAGACTTGCCAGCGTCCACAGAGCGCCGCGCTGGGGAGACCACTGCACGTTGGAGCTTGTGTGAAGAGCCAGCGGGAGCGTGGGCGGGTGGGGGACAGCGGCCCCTGTGACCGAGAGCCCTCACCATGGCCCGAGGTGCCCCACACGGTCCCCCGCCTCAATCACAGCTTGGAGTGCCCCACACGGTCCCCCCGCCTGAGCCATGGCCTGGGGTGCCCCACACAGTCCTCCCCACCAGCGGCCTCGCGGTGCCCTCACTTCCACATGTAGCCAGGTTTAGAAATGCCCAGAAAAGCCTGGGGTCTGTGCCAGGACACAACTCCTCTGAGTCAGAGACCGCGAACTCGGATGCCCCCGGGAGCTGCTGGGAGCCCGACTGGGTCACAGACAAGCAGGCGACTCTGCCAAAGACCCTGTCATCCCTGTGGGCCAAGGGGCCATTCACACCTGGCCGGGAAGGGGCTGCCCATGGCCATCCTGCCGAACGGGGCTCTAGAGCAGGAGTCCCCGGGGTGCTGGGACTGGGCGGCCGTCCTGCCCGCCCCCCCCCCCCCCCCCCCCCGCCGTTTCCAGCCCAGAGGCTCACTGCGGCTCCACCTCCAGGGGGCAGCCCTCGCCTGGCGTCCAAGACCCAAACCTGGAACGCCGTGGCCCGGCAGCAGCGACCACCTGTGCAGAGCGGGCACAGGCCGGGCTCACTGAGGGGGTGCGCCCCTGGGGGCCTGGGCTCGAAGCCACAGCCCCAGCAGCGTGAGCCCAGGGTCCGGGAAGGCACTGCTCAATGTCAAGGGCAAGCGGCCACGCAGGCTGCTGTTACTCATTCGACACTGTGCCCCAGATCTGGCATCTACTGACGAGGTCTGCTTTAGGTTTTGTTTTTTCATGTTCATGAGAATGCTCATTTTTAGCATGAAAATTCTCAACCATTTTCAAGTTGACCTTTTCTGGCGATGGGTAGACGTGGTCTGCTCCCACGGAGACGCCCACAGACTGTCTAAATTCCACGTCACCTGCACCGTGTGACAGACTCATAATCACATGGGCTTCAAACAGTTCATGCAAAACGGAACCAAAGTGCAGGTTTGTTTTGGTGCAAAAATGTTAAAATCCACAGTTTTTAAAAAATATTCATTTCCATGGGCCTCGAAGAGCCTTGTAAACGCACCTGTGGTCCCAGTTCTTTCTCCGGCAGGACTGGGCCTCTCTCCACCACAAACACGTGCTCACAGTCCTGCCGTGAGCCCCAGCCCCCGGCCCCGGCCCGGGACCAGTCTGCTCCTTGTTCTTGGCGTGCCAGTCCCAAGAAGGAGGCCATGCCGCAGGCCTGAGCCAGACCCTGCTCCTTGGACGCCGTCCTTTCGAGAACAGCCCTGCCCAGGACAACCTGGGGGCCTCTGCCTGAGCGGGGACCGACGCCGGAGGGCACAAGGCAGGGACGAGCGCACCCCCCCACAGCACTGGCGCACCGGACCAGAAGCTTCCGCACAGCAGACATGGGTCAGCCCCAGTCCCAGCCGGACGGCCAGAGCAGCTCTGCACGGGAGCTCCATACCCCACTCAGGGAGCCCCATACCCCCAACTCGGGGAGCCCATACCCCACTCAGGGAGCCCGTACCCCCAACTCGGGGAGCCCATACCCCACTCAGGGAGCCCATACCCCCACTCAGGGAGCCTGTACCCCACTCAGGGAGCCCGTACTCAGGGAGCCCGTACCCCCACTCAGGGAGCCCCGTACCCCCACTCAGAGAGCCTGTACCCCACTCAGGGAGCCTATACCCCACTCAGGGAGCCCATACCCCCACTCAGGGAGCCCGTACCCCCACTCAGGGAGCCCCGTACCCCCACTCAGAGAGCCTGTACCCCACTCAGGGAGCCTATACCCCACTCAGGGAGCCCATACCCCCACTCAGGGAGCCCGTACCCCACTCAGGGAGCCCGTACCCCACTCAGGGAGCCTGTACCCCACTCAGGGAGCCCGTACCCCACTCAGGGAGCCCCGTACCCCACTCAGGGAGCCCGTACCCCCACACAGGGAGGCCTGGGCCCCGTCCCTACGGTCTCCACGAGCAGCCCACAGGCTGGGTGAAAGCCAGGACACGTCGGCAGAGGGCAGGCCCTTCTCCCTCGGCAGATATGCTCAGCTGTCTCCCTGCCACATCCTCGGCAGAGTGAGCACCCCCAAGACAATGCAGGCTCAGGAGCCCACGGCCATCGTGGGCCTCTCCAGTCCGACTCCTGGCTGACCACCAGGGATGCCGTGAGTACCGTGCCGATACTCAACCACAACCCGTCCCTGCCAACGACACTGGCTGTAAGCAGGCAGTGTTGGCTGAGGCCCTGCAGAGCTGGGTGGGGCTGAGCACTGGGCTCTCCGGAGAAGGAGGGTCTCACCCCACTGGGAGGACGCTCAGGCCGGGGCCTGCCCTGCAGATGCCTGACGGCCCTCCGGACTGGCTCTCTCAGCCCTCAACGTCCCCAACAGCGGCAAGGGCAGCACATGGCAGCCGAGGGGCCGCCGGACCCCGAGTGTCTGCCACACCTGGCCTGGCTCCGGCAGTCATGGGTGCGCCATCCCCAGCCAGGTGCACAGGGGTGAGGCTGCAGTGTGTGCGATCGGATGCACCCCTCCCGCCCCCTCTGTCCCACAGCCAGCCGCTGGCCCTGCCCAGAGCAGATGGTCGTGCGCTCCCCCAGCTGGCTCGTCTCAAGGGTTTCTCACACCTGCAGAAGGTAAACTACTTCGACAGCCCGAGAGGCCCGGGGTCTGGGCCTGCGCCCCGACCTCACCCCACCTGGGACCACCCCAGGGCCCCTGCCCCACCCTCTGCACCCACTGCTCCTTAGCCTGGGTCTCCTTCCAGAGACAGACCTCGCCTGGTTGGGCGGGACAGTCCTCAGAGAAGCTTTCCTGCCGCAGACCTGAGCACCGAGCACCGCGCCCCTTCCAGCTGCCGCCTGCCGTGTCCCCCCTGCGGCCCCTCGTGCTCGCCCTCGGAGACCACGGGTGGCTGGCTACCGAGCGCCCTGGCAGCTTTCCAGCACGAGCACCGTGCCCCTTCCAGCTGCCACCTGCCTCCTGCCGTGTCCCCCCTGCGGCCCCTCGTGCTCGCCCTCGGAGACCACGGGTGGCTGGCTCCCGAGTGCCCTGGCAGCTTTCCAGCACGCATTCTCGTTCCCAGCTGAATCCCCGGTGCCAGCGTCACCCAGGAAGCGCCCAGTATGAGCCGCCTGGAGGATGGACGTGCGAGGGGTGGCCCCGGGCGACTCCCAGGGGTGGCACTATGCTGCTGTAGGACTGAGCCTCGAGACCCCATGGCCCGACCGTCGCGGGCTCTCATGCACGGACCCATGCCCAACGCGTGCAGCCACAGATGCGAGGCATGTATCTTCCTTGCAAGCAGAGCGTCCCCACGGGGTGGGCGTGCCCGGGGCCCGGCATGGTGGGGACAGCCCGGCCGTCCCCTGTAGCCCGTCGGGGCCCGGCCCTGCCCGCACTTACCTCCAGCGGGACCACCTGCATCAGGATGGCGAAGTTGGTGAGGTGGGTGCAGTGGCAGACGGAGTGGCTGAGGTTTCCCTCTGTGAGCTCGCAGCCCTGGCTGGACCAGACGCCTTCTCCGGAGCTGAGCATGGACACCGGAGAAAGGGTCAGCGGTGACAACGCAGCTCCTGGACACGTGCCCTCGCAGTCCCCATGGAGCTCACGCCTGCCCGTGCAGGAAATGCAGCCAGGCGGCCAGTGCTGGGCGGCATCCACCTCAGCCCACTCTGGCACATCGGCTACATGCACAGGGGACACGTCAGGGGCACCGCCAATGGCGCGGGCCACTAGAAACACGTCACAGGCACGTGTCGGGGGAATGGAGACACAATCACGTGTGTACACACAGGTTGCAGCGTGGCAGCTAGAGGACACCCTGGACCACGCACTGTGTGGGTGGAACCATCACAGCGCAGATACGCTGCAGCGGCACCAGCCGGGAGACAGGGCAGCCGCTGCTTCAGGACCCGAGCAGAGAACCCCCCGTTTTGCTCTTTGAGTGAATGAGGATGGACGTGTTATTGTGCCATTTAAGGAGAGACCGAGGCCAACGGCCCATGGCAGGGACCGGACGGGGGCACAGCAGCGGAACGCGAGGCTCCAGGAGGACCCTGAGTGTGTGTGGCAGGGCGGGCTGAGGCTGGCAAGGCCCGGCTGGGAGCTGTCTGTCTCTCTGTGTCTCTCAGGGAGGAGATAATTGCCGTACCGTGTGTGCAGTCTGACAGGGAACAGGATTGTGTTGGCCGAGGCTAACTACACTGGGGGCCCTTCTCCTATGTGCTTCTCATGTTCACGGTAAACACCTCTTCGTGGAAGCGCAGCTTGGCCTGCCAGGAGAGCCCCACCTTTGCCGCCGTCGGGGGTGGGGGGCCTGGCGGGGGAGTGCTCAGAGGCGCAGCGCTCATGAGGCCCGTGTCTCTGTGCCGTGTCGCAGGGTGGTCAGGGCCATTGGGAAGAGCCACACCACCCCTGGACGAGCGATGCTGGGCGAGCCCGCACCTGCCCTGCAGGGCTGCGGGTGTGGGGTGTGGGGCGGCTGCACCTCCTGTTACCTGGCGACACGGGACTGAGGGTGGGTGGGGAAGGTCACTCAGGAGACCCCGGCAGGCATCGAGCCAAGGGCTGACACTGGGGCGGGGTGGTGGCTGGCCCGGGGTGGACGGCAGTCAGCTGATCAGACAGCACGACTGAGCTCTCGCCCCTGCCCAGCCAGACGCCCAGCGCCTGCACGCCCTCCAAGAACTGGGCTCCTGGAGGGTCGTGCCCGCCCACACAGCATGGGCCCCGACGCCCCGAGACCCTGTGGGCAGCCGCCGACCCCAGTTGGTGTGCCCTCGTCTGAGTGCGCGGGGCCACCCTCACCCGAGTGCCCACAGCCATGTGGTGAGTGACGGCCCCTGCTCACATCCCGAGGGAGCCGTGAAGCGGTGACGCTGCCCTGACCCGCCGGGGCTGAGCGAGCTGTGGCCCTACGCCTGTGCAGGGCTGACGGCCCACACCCAGGCCAGTCGGTGACTCAGGAGGCCCCTAACTTGTCACAGATGAACCTGTGGGGGCAGACGGTGGGACAACGCCTACTGACAGAAAGGACGTGCAGCCCTGTGACCCGGGAGGGCTGCAGCAGACCGAGGGGGCCCACCACCACCCCTGCACACACATACACAAACATGCTCACACCAGTATGGGGCAAGCAGCGTGTGTCAACACGAGTGACACGGCACAGGCGTGCATGGACGAGGCAGGACACAGGTGTCCACGGACACAGCTGCGTGTGAACCACTGAGAAAGCACACACGACAGTCCACGGGTGTCACGCCGACATGGGAGAGCGAGGCGAGGAGCGAGGCTGACGGGACACTGGCTTCCTAGAGTGCACAGGGCACGTTGCTCGCCAGAGAGGCAGAGAGAGGGGATCGCCCTCGGGTGGCCACGCCACGATCCCTTCTCTTCCAGCTCCTCTCTGGATTCCGGGCGTGCACATACATGTGCCCGGCATGATTTCCAAGCCGCCGGGTCCAGAGCTGGAACCACGGTTGGCCACACGGGAGTGCAGCAGCTTAACCACCATCCCAAACGCCGGCCCCAGGATCTTCACTTTCTAAAAGAATATGCACCAAGATGTGGCTCATGGGATTTTCTAAAGTGTTAGCCTAGAAGAAAGAGATGCCGAATTCTAGGCCCAGTGAAAACGTCTCTCAAAAACAAAACACTCCCTCAGATAAAGGCCATTCACAGACTTGCACTCGGCACAGCTAACGGGTTACCAGGGACAAAGGCTTGCACTCGGCACAGCTAATGGGTTACCAGGGACAAACCTGGCCACGCAGCAAGATGGGACGGCGGCCGTGGACCGGACGGAGGTTCTGTGGGACCACTTGCCACGGCAGCAGCAGGTCACTGACCACCCGGCAAGCAGCCCCTGAGCACTGTGCGCGGACGGCCGTGGGGGCCTCACCCCGGGGCAAAGCCGGTGATCACACCCAAACAGTGCCTCTGCCAGGGAGGGCCGGGCTCTCACGGGGCGCTCCCACGGGGTGGCCGAAGTGGCGGAAGTGGGGTGCACTTGGAGACCAGCACTTGTGGGAGTCCCCGCATGGGTTTCTCATGCCATGTGTTTTCCTTGAACCTTTTGAAGCCCCTCATAGGAAATGAACAGTGACACAAGCCACGACAGTGCCGTTATTAATGGGCCACAGCGAGATAAAGAAGCCACTCAGCAGTCCAGCAACTGGCGCTACCTCGCTGGACTCCCACGTAGTCAACCATGGTTCACGTCCTGGACCCAGCATCTGGAAACTCACGCTGGGCGCGTGTGCGTGTGTGCCTGAGACCCCGAGAGGAAAAAGGAGAAGGGAGTGCGGCGTGGCCTTCCCCCAGGGGGTGATCTCTCTCTCTCTGTCTCTCTGTCTCTCTGTCTCTCTGGTGAGCACACATGCCCTATAGCAAAAATCTCTCTCTTAAAAAAAATACTAAAAGAAGCCATATAATAATAATAAAGAGCTCAGCTCTCCGCTGAGCTCCCGCGCACATGGGTTCTCGGAGATAGACTGGGGGTGGCATTGACTCCGGAGTCTCGTGGTTAAGGGAGGGGGGATCTCGTGAGGCCGACTATGGTTAGAATCCCGG